TGTAATTATCAAAAATAATTTATGAATTTTCTCTTTTAGAATAAAATTACTACTTATTAATTATTTTTTTAATAATTTTTCTCTTTTTGAATATATAATAATTTGCAAATTACCCCTATGTAATTCAAATTAAAATAAAAACAATTTTCACTAAAAACAACACTCATGTTATTTTCTTTTACAAAAATATGTTACTTTTCTTAAATGAAGAAAATCTCTAATTACTAATTATCATTTTTAATAATCTCTCTCTATATTAACACATAACATTTTCACAAAAACACCATTCGTTTATTTTCTTTAAACAAAAAAAAATATTTTACTCTTCAATTTTCTTTCCTAAAAGAAACTCATAAAACATGTTATTTAATATCTTTTTTTCATAAAAAAAATTATTTATAATGTCCCCACAAGTGTCCACAAGTGTACACTCCAAGATTTTGAAATACTGTTTTATGTAATTAATGATAATCTTCTCTATATCACAATAACATGAAATTAAATAAAATTAAATCGAATTAGTGATAATCTTCTCTATATCACAATAACATGATATTAAATACAATTTCTTTTGAAATACTACTGATATCAGATTGATTTTAAATAACTTACTTTTGGCGGTTCCCGTTCTAAATCGCTAAAGTAATAATCGCTAAAAATTAAAATACCACTAAAAAAATAAAAATTAAAGACAACAAATAGTTATATAAAATACTTAATACAAATATAAATCTAAGGGTGAGAATATAATATATTTTAATATATATAATTGATAATAATATTATTAAACATGTGTTTTACAAATTTAATAATTGTTTTAAATAGCATTAAAAAATTTTATCAATAGTTAAAATACTTAATACAAATATATATCTTAAGGGAGAAATTATAATAAATTTTAGTATATAATTACAAATTATATTATTAACAAGGCGTTTTACAAAAATATTTTAAATGGCAATAAAAGATTTTATCAATAGTTATATTCAATACTTAATAACAAATATATATTTTAAGGGGGATATTATAATAAATTTTAATATATATATATAATAATATTAAGTATGCGTTTTATAAATTTTTAATTATTTTAAAAAGCATTAAAAAATTTTATCAATAGTTAAAATACTTAATACAAATATATATCTTAAGGGAGAAATTATAATAAATTTTAGTATATAATTACAAATTATATTATTAACAAGGCGTTTTACAAAAATATTTTAAATGGCAATAAAAGATTTTATCAATAGTTATATTCAATACTTAATAACAAATATATATTTTAAGGGGGATATTATAATAAATTTTAATATATATATATAATATTATTAAGTATGCGTTTTATAAATTTTTAATTATTTTAAAAAGCATTAAAAAATTTTATCAATAGTTAAAATACTTAATACGAATATATATCTTAAGGGAGAAATTATAATAAATTTTAGTATATAATTACAAATTATATTATTAACAAGGCGTTTTACAAAAATATTTTAAATGGCAATAAAAGATTTTATCAATAGTTATATTCAATACTTAATAACAAATATATATTTTAAGGGGGATATTATAATAAATTTTAATATATATATATAATATTATTAAGTATGCGTTTTATAAATTTTTAATTATTTTAAAAAGCATTAAAAAATTTTATCAATAGTTAAAATACTTAATACGAATATATATCTTAAGGGAGAAATTATAATAAATTTTAGTATATAATTACAAATTATATTATTAACAAGGCGTTTTACAAAAATATTTTAAATGGCAATAAAAGATTTTATCAATAGTTATATTCAATACTTAATAACAAATATATATTTTAAGGGGGATATTATAATAAATTTTAATATATATATATAATATTATTAAGTATGCGTTTTATAAATTTTTAATTATTTTAAAAAGCATTAAAAAATTTTATCAATAGTTAAAATACTTAATACAAATATATATCTTAAGGGAGAAATTATAATAAATTTTAGTATATAATTACAAATTATATTATTAACAAGGCGTTTTACAAAAATATTTTAAATGGCAATAAAAGATTTTATCAATAGTTATATTCAATACTTAATAACAAATATATATTTTAAGGGGGATATTATAATAAATTTTAATATATATATATAATATTATTAAGTATGCGTTTTATAAATTTTTAATTATTTTAAAAAGCATTAAAAAATTTTATCAATAGTTAAAATACTTAATACGAATATATATCTTAAGGGAGAAATTATAATAAATTTTAGTATATAATTACAAATTATATTATTAACAAGGCGTTTTACAAAAATATTTTAAATGGCAATAAAAGATTTTATCAATAGTTATATTCAATACTTAATAACAAATATATATTTTAAGGGGGATATTATAATAAATTTTAATATATATATATAATATTATTAAGTATGCGTTTTATAAATTTTTAATTATTTTAAAAAGCATTAAAAAATTTTATCAATAGTTAAAATACTTAATACAAATATATATCTTAAGGGAGAAATTATAATAAATTTTAGTATATAATTACAAATTATATTATTAACAAGGCGTTTTACAAAAATATTTTAAATGGCAATAAAAGATTTTATCAATAGTTATATTCAATACTTAATAACAAATATATATTTTAAGGGGGATATTATAATAAATTTTAATATATATATATAATATTATTAAGTATGCGTTTTATAAATTTTTAATTATTTTAAAAAGCATTAAAAATTTTTATCAATAGTTAAAATACTTAATACGAATATATATCTTAAGGGAGAAATTATAATAAATTTTAGTATATAATTACAAATTATATTATTAACAAGGCGTTTTACAAAAATATTTTAAATGGCAATAAAAGATTTTATCAATAGTTATATTCAATACTTAATAACAAATATATATTTTAAGGGGGATATTATAATAAATTTTAATATATATATATAATATTATTAAGTATGCGTTTTATAAATTTTTAATTATTTTAAAAAGCATTAAAAAATTTTATCAATAGTTAAAATACTTAATACGAATATATATCTTAAGGGAGAAATTATAATAAATTTTAGTATATAATTACAAATTATATTATTAACAAGGCGTTTTACAAAAATATTTTAAATGGCAATAAAAGATTTTATCAATAGTTATATTCAATACTTAATAACAAATATATATTTTAAGGGGGATATTATAATAAATTTTAATATATATATATAATATTATTAAGTATGCGTTTTATAAATTTTTAATTATTTTAAAAAGCATTAAAAAATTTTATCAATAGTTAAAATACTTAATACAAATATATATCTTAAGGGAGAAATTATAATAAATTTTAGTATATAATTACAAATTATATTATTAACAAGGCGTTTTACAAAAATATTTTAAATGGCAATAAAAGATTTTATCAATAGTTATATTCAATACTTAATAACAAATATATATTTTAAGGGGGATATTATAATAAATTTTAATATATATATATAATATTATTAAGTATGCGTTTTATAAATTTTTAATTATTTTAAAAAGCATTAAAAAATTTTATCAATAGTTAAAATACTTAATACGAATATATATCTTAAGGGAGAAATTATAATAAATTTTAGTATATAATTACAAATTATATTATTAACAAGGCGTTTTACAAAAATATTTTAAATGTCAATAAAAGATTTTATCAATAGTTATATTCAATACTTAATAACAAATATATATTTTAAGGGGGATATTATAATAAATTTTAATATATATATATAATATTATTAAGTATGCGTTTTATAAATTTTTAATTATTTTAAAAAGCATTAAAAAATTTTATCAATAGTTAAAATACTTAATACGAATATATATCTTAAGGGAGAAATTATAATAAATTTTAGTATATAATTACAAATTATATTATTAACAAGGCGTTTTACAAAAATATTTTAAATGGCAATAAAAGATTTTATCAATAGTTATATTCAATACTTAATAACAAATATATATTTTAAGGGGGATATTATAATAAATTTTAATATATATATATAATATTATTAAGTATGCGTTTTATAAATTTTTAATTATTTTAAAAAGCATTAAAAAATTTTATCAATAGTTAAAATACTTAATACGAATATATATCTTAAGGGAGAAATTATAATAAATTTTAGTATATAATTACAAATTATATTATTAACAAGGCGTTTTACAAAAATATTTTAAATGGCAATAAAAGATTTTATCAATAGTTATATTCAATACTTAATAACAAATATATATTTTAAGGGGGATATTATAATAAATTTTAATATATATATATAATATTATTAAGTATGCGTTCTTTTTATTATTATTTTTACCTATTTAATTTATTGATACTCTTTTCAAAGAATTTATAAAGGATAACTTAAATTAATCTATCTCTACTACCATCTATCGATATTTTGTGAATATAAAGAATTTATTTTTTAGATAATAAATTCAATTAAAACTCCCATTATTTACAATGAATTAATTATTATGGCATTATGAGCTTGCTGAAATATCTAAACCTTAAATTACATTTAAAAGGATAGTTTATTTGGAAAACAATGTGTATGATTGTTTGCAATATATAGATTTGGTCGATGAATTGTATTATAATAATTCCATAATAAAAGTATTAATTTTTACAGCAATAAATTTTGTCTTATTTCATCTCAAGATTTAATAGATAACCCCAAAATATTTTTATCCTACCCCCATTAAGGCAGCCTACCACCCACCCCTTCAAAAAATAGGATGCAAACTGTTCCTACCTCTCCCGCTCATGTAGACGCTGTATATAGATTTATGATAGATATCTACATCCAGTGAAAATCTTGTCATGTAAACAAAACAAAAAAATAAAGTATCATTTCAAACACCAAGTATATTGGTCTTTTTTATCAATTTTATATTAAATTTTTTATTAACAATATATCTACAACTATTTTAAATTTAATAATATATATTTAATATGATTTTATTAAATCAGACACTTTATCAATAAAAAAAAATAAATTAGAAGTAATATCATATAATGCTGTTAAGTTTACAATTTTTTTATTAATTATCACATATTTTTTATTTTTCTCCGTAACTATTTCCCCGTTATTGATTTGTATAACTTTAAGTTCTGTCAGGCGTTGGTTATCTTTTAAAACGCGAATTAATGAATATATGTCCGGATGAGCATTTTTTGCCATTCGCTTGAGGGAATGGTGATATCCTTCAAGATGATTATTACTGCGAGGACCTTGAATCTTATACCTAACACCAAACAATGTATTAAATGTTAAAAATATTATAAACTTTTATATAAATTGTGAGGAATTAATAAAAATGAAATAATTACCTGGTCCAAATTTGATGAGGAAAGATTGCATCAGGATTTATCCAGGTAGTATCCATATATATTAAGAAACTTAATATTAACGGGTCATTGGCTGCTAGATCTACACAAGAATCACGGACCACTTGAATGTCCTCTCTCTTGCATAAAGGTAATACACTCATCCTTCGAACAATAGTGTATACAGCAGTCTCTTCTTTATACTGCTTGACTAAACCTAAATGCTGAACTTTACGCCAAATGGCCTGCGTAAAGTGGAAGAAGCAGCCTAAAAATAAATTATACAACTATATATAATTTAAACTTTACCCTTTACTAAAATATTGGGAAATACAAATTGTAGAGCAGATATCGCTCCTGCTTCATAGTCGGTTTGTGCCATTTCTGGTGAAAACTGGATACCATTCAATGTCCCATATTCCACGATTATTTGAAATAGCTCAATATAGGACTCCTTCCTTTTATCTGGAAGAAGTGCATATATGATAGGGATCATTGTTTGATTATACATGATATGTATAGTATATAATTGGCTAAAAAAACGTGGACATGTGTAAAAAGTCCCATCCATATAAATAAATTTTGTATAGGAAGATAAACTGACTAACATGACAGACCCAAATACAATAAGTTTGTTATTATTATTTTTTATTAAGAAGCTATCACCACTGAATGTTGTTATCAATTCAGTGGTCAATACAATTGTGTCATTGCTAATGGGAATATTTGGCCTGGTTTGTTTTAAAATACGGTTAATCGTATTTTTAACGGAAATAAAAGGTGGTAAGGCTCCTGGATAATTGATTATATCTGGATCTTCAGAGCATTGTTGGTTTTTTTACCAGATTTGTGCTGTAAATACTGATATCCCAAATATTCTATGTAGTCTTTATTTTTTATTGTTTTCTAAAAAAAAATTTAAATGTAAATAAAATTTTCATATCTATAAATTATACATACTTTAATATCTAATTTCCTAAGCTTAAGTAAATTAATTAAATAGATGTATCTCAAATATCTTCTCAATCTCATGGATAATCCTTGATCCTCTCAAATCCAAGTTAAAAATTATAAATCATATTAATTAATTATAAATTAAATAGATGTATCTCAAATATCTTCTCAATCTCATGGAGAATCCTTGACCCTCTCAAATCCAAGTTAAAAATTATAAATCATATTAATTAACTATAAATTAAATAGATGTATCTCAAATATCTTCTCAATCTCATGGAGAATCCTTGACCCTCTCAAATCCAAGTTAAAAATTATAAATCATATTAATTAATTATAAATTAAATAGATGTATCTCAAATATCTTCTCAATCTCATGGAGAATCCTTGACCCTCTCAAATCCAAGTTAAAAATTATAAATCATATTAATTAACTATAAATTAAATAGATGTATCTCAAATATCTTCTCAATCTCATGGAGAATCCTTGACCCTCTCAAATCCAAGTTAAAAATTATAAATCATATTAATTAATTATAAATTAAATAGATGTATCTCAAATATCTTCTCAATCTCATGGAGAATCCTTGACCCTCTCAAATCCAAGTTAAAAATTATAAATCATATTAATTAACTATAAATTAAATAGATGTATCTCAAATATCTTCTCAATCTCATGGAGAATCCTTGACCCTCTCAAATCCAAGTTAAAAATTATAAATCATATTAATTAATTATAAATTAAATAGATGTATCTCAAATATCTTCTCAATCTCATGGAGAATCCTTGACCCTCTCAAATCCAAGTTAAAAATTATAAATCATATTAATTAACTATAAATTAAATAGATGTATCTCAAATATCTTCTCAATCTCATGGAGAATCCTTGACCCTCTCAAATCCAAGTTAAAAATTATAAATCATATTAATTAACTATAAATTAAATAGATGTATCTCAAATATCTTCTCAATCTCATGGAGAATCCTTGACCCTCTCAAATCCAAGTTAAAAATTATAAATCATATTAATTAATTATAAATTAAATAGATGTATCTCAAATATCTTCTCAATCTCATGGAGAATCCTTGACCCTCTCAAATCCAAGTTAAAAATTATAAATCATATTAATTAACTATAAATTAAATAGATGTATCTCAAATATCTTCTCAATCTCATGGAGAATCCTTGACCCTCTCAAATCCAAGTTAAAAATTATAAATCATATTAATTAACTATAAATTAAATAGATGTATCTCAAATATCTTCTCAATCTCATGGAGAATCCTTGACCCTCTCAAATCCAAGTTAAAAATTATAAATCATATTAATTAATTATAAATTAAATAGATGTATCTCAAATATCTTCTCAATCTCATGGAGAATCCTTGACCCTCTCAAATCCAAGTTAAAAATTATAAATCATATTAATTAACTATAAATTAAATAGATGTATCTCAAATATCTTCTCAATCTCATGGAGAATCCTTGACCCTCTCAAATCCAAGTTAAAAATTATAAATCATATTAATTAATTATAAATTAAATAGATGTATCTCAAATATCTTCTCAATCTCATGGAGAATCCTTGACCCTCTCAAATCCAAGTTAAAAATTATAAATCATATTAATTAACTATAAATTAAATAGATGTATCTCAAATATCTTCTCAATCTCATGGAGAATCCTTGACCCTCTCAAATCCAAGTTAAAAATTATAAATCATATTAAATAACTATAAATTAAATAGATGTATCTCAAATTAATATATAATTACAATTAAGTTTTACTTTGAATTGGTTTACAAGTAAAAAAATTTAAATGTAAATAAAATTTTCATATCTATAAATTATACATACTTTAATATCTAATTTCCGAAGCTTAAGTAAATTATTTATGTTTTCTGCTACGGTTTGAATCTTCATTTTTTAAATAAAACACTAGTAGCCATATTTGGGATTTTCACTGGTAACAAAATTTAAAATTTTCATATCTATAAATTATACATACTTTAATATCTAATTTCCTAAGCTTAAGTAAATTATTTATGTTTTCTGCTACGGTTTGAATCTTCATTTTTTAAATAAAACACTAGTAGCCATCTTTGGGATTTTCACTGGTAACAAAATTGGGAACATCCCATTTTTTAGCGATTTTTCGTTTAGCGATTTAGAACCGATCCCCTTTTGGCTCCCATAGCTTTATATTAATATTTAAAAAATTGATACAAATATCATATAAGATTTCTGTCCTAAGAATTATGTCCTAAAAAATTATAGGAACCACAATTCCGTTTTTTATGGACTAATTCCCCCTTTATCAGTTATCCTAATAAAATCGTTATGACATACTCCCACAGTACCATCATCAAATCGTATTGTACACAATTTATTCCCAATATTATCTATAACACAACCTTTCTCCCATTTTTTTTTATGGTCAAAAAGTCTTCCCCAAATAATTTTCCCCACAGGAAATTTTATATTAGTTTTTTCATAAGATAATATATTGTCAATTTCTTTTGACTTAAGAAAATCTAAGGGTAATCTGGTTCTTCTACCCAAAAATAACACAACAGGAGTAAATCCCTTCTTATTCCTTGAATTATTATAATATAATTGGGCTAACCAGACGTCATTTTTTTCTTGTTTAGCCTTTTTTATCCAATTTTTTACAATAGCTACCATTCTATCAGCCTGGCCATTAGAGCTAGGATGATAAGGTGGAGTCAAAATATGTTTAATTTTAATTGAATTACAAAATTGCTTAAAATTTTTACTTATAAATGCCGGACCTCCATCCGATACAATTATTTTAGGAATCCCAAATTTAGCCCACAATTTTTGTAATAATTTAATAACAACTTTAGTTGTTAAACCTTGAACCTCTTCAAATTCAATCCATTTGGAATATGAATCCACAACCAAAAAATATGATTTTTTATCCAATTCAAAAAAATCAATGTGGAGACGATTCCATGGTTTCTTTGATTTGGGCCACACTTGTCCCATCTCTTTACGGGGCATAACGGCACAAGTATTACATGGAACACATGTAATTTTTTCTATATCATTACCCATCCCAGGCCACCACACATATTCACGAGCCCAAAATTTCATTTTAACTTGACCCTGGTGTCCTGCATGTAACAAATTAATTATTTTAGCACGTAATTTCAAAGGAATTATTGTCCTATTTCCTCTCATTAAACAATCATCCACCACGGATAATTCTTTTTCGAATTTTTGATAAATTTTATAATTATTTTTCCATGGCTTTTTTTCCCGTTAAAAATAATTTTATTTGTCTCAATACTTTATCTTTTAAAGTATATGATTTGAGATCTTCCCAAGTTGTAGGACCTCCCTTTAACATATATGATAGAGTACGCACTAATGCATCTTCTCTATCAATAATCATGTTATCAATAATTTCAGGAGTAGCACAACCTGCCCCTAATCTCGATAATATATCTGGCAAATAATTTTCTCTACCTCGCCGATATTTTATATCTACGTTAAAACATCCCACAAGTAACAACCACCGTTGTAACCTCGGGGACATTATTAATTCTTTGTTATCTTTCTTGAACAAATGAATTAATGGCTTTTGATCTGTATAAATCACAAATCTTTTCCCGATTAAATACTCGCGACATTTGGTCAATCCAAAAATAATCGCTAAGGCCTCCTGTTCTATAACAGAGTACCTCGTTTCAACTTCATGAAATATTCTCGAAAAAAAATAATTGGTCTCTCTAAACCATCAATGACATGTAATAATGCGCCTCCTACACATTTATTGGATGCATTAACCGCAAGAATTATCTCCTAATCATTGTTAAAACACACTAAAATTGGTTCCTCACCAATTTTTCTCTTTAAATTTTCAAAAGCATTTGTTCAATTTTCCACTCAAAATTAACACCTTTTTTTAATAAGTCATATAGTGGAGCTGTTATTTTTGCAAAATTATACACAAATCTATGATAATAATTTATCATGCCCATAAAAGATTGTACTTCGGCTTTATTACTAGGCTGATTTATGTTTAAAATATTTTTTAAATTTTTATCAAGTGGTTTCACTTCAATTCCATTAAATTGATGACCCAAATATACTATTTCGGTGACACCAAGAATGCATTTCTCTTTACAAGCTTTTAACCATTTATCTTGAATTCTCTTGAAAACCTCTTCAAGACGTTGATTATGTTGCTCTGACGTCACTCCAGTTATCAACACATCATCCATATAAATACACCTTCCAAACCCTGAAAAACTGATGCCATTGTTCTCTGAAAAATCGGTGCAGATACACTTAACTCAAAAGGTAATCTACAAAACGCAAATAATCCTTTAGGCGTTGTTATTGTCAACAATTTACGAATTTCTTCTTTCAAAGGCAATTGTAAATATGCTGATGAAAAATCAACTTTTGAAAAATATTTAGCTCCCTTTAAATTTGCCAAAATTTCTTCAATTCGAGGTAATGGATATTTCACTTCCACAACCCATTTGTTAAGTGTTACTCGAAAATCTGCACATAATCTAAGTTTTCCATTAGATTTTTTAACAGGTACTAATGGTGTAGCCCATTCACTATATTCCACAGAAATAATAATACCATCATTAACCCATTTATCTAATTCTTCGTTGATTTCCTTTTTCCACTCAAAAGGAACTCTACGACACGCTAAGAAAATAGGTGAAAATCCCTCTTTTAATTTTAAATCCACTTGATAATCATTTAGACATCCCAAAGTGTCTTCAAAAATTATATCATATTTTTCAACTAAAATAGGTATAAGCGTTTTTAACTCTATTTAATTCATTAATTT